TTTTACCAGGGATGTTTAATATCGGTTTTGATAAGCAAGATGCATGGGCACGGAGCTTTCTGGAGCACACTGTTATAAAGGAAAGGAACAAGTAACACACTATATACTTGTTCTTCCATTCTTTTTTCCCTTTTTTTCTTTCTATTTTATATCTCCTGTCTTGGTGGTGTGGGATCGGGATTATCTTTCCTTATACATTCGCTGGTTAGGCTCTACTCTGGTTTCTATGTTGGATTCGCTATATACCCTCGTTCGTTAGTCACACTTATTGAATTGTCACTATTACTGCCATTCGTTTATATTGTATGCGCGATGTCTGTCTTAACAGCCATTAACTATCGATAACCAACCCGCCCTGCCAACTGAGATAGTAACTTGAATTCTCGGCCACATACCGCCCCTTAAGCACCACTACACTTGCCTATACAACATCTACTCTGTAGCAATGTAGTTATTCAAGTTGACCGTTACATTGAACGCGCGTTCATGCACTGGATGCAAACCATCCAAGAGAGGTAATTATTACACTGCAAAGTGGACCAAAGTCAGCAAGAATGATCAAATCGGCTTCAGGGTTTTCTGCGGGTCAAGCCGCTCGGCCGTGGGCCACGATATCCATTAGTTATCCCTGCTAGATGCGTGCCTAACTCGCTAGCTAACTCTCTCTCCCTTGCTCCATCGACAACCCAATAGCCCCGTCACGCAAAGACGTTAGCAAAGTTACAAAAGGAGGATTCTTGGTCAAAATGTGAAGCCGTAGTGGTCAGAAAATAGACAGTTAGTGATTATCAAAACCGTAAACGGTCGTCCCAAGCTACAAACAGAATGATTAGCTTTTCACTCGGGCATATGTATACTATGTGTCTACTTCGTAGAGAGAGGCTCACCCTCTTTAGGACAAAAACAATCTAGCCATCGGTACGGTGTTAGCTGCCAATGATAACATAGCCAATACGTCTGAATATGAACTCACATCGGAGGTAGTCACTGTCTGTGATAAATGTTAGCTGCTTTACAGAGTATGAAAATAAGAAAACATAGCGATGCTTACCTTGCGAGTCTTAGCAGGCGTGTCAGTAGATTCGAGGAGCATGACCACTTGTTAGCATGTCAGTAAAAGACTTTCATATACAGGGTCGTATTAAGCTGGCTCTTCCTTACCGTCTGGAGACGAGAGACAACAATCTCTCGGACCGTCTTGTAAATCGCCTTTTGTATGCGTACAACGCCCCCACGGCGTGCCAGGCGGCTACAGTTTGGAGGAAGGGTTAGTCCCAGCATAGAATGGTAGTAAGGAGCTATTATATGAGATGCCATGAAAGTCTCCATACCGGATTGCAGGCTTGGCTGTAGTAGATACATTGTTAGTTTTTTCTATAGTAATATCCAGTCTGGGTGTTGACAGGTATAGACTTCTTCGATATACTTACTTATACCCATGATATTGTCTCGTTTGTTCTTTCTGCAGCCACATTGAATGATTGATAAGACTTCCTCGAAGTGTTGGATCTCAATCAAGCTTACCGGTATCTTCTGGGTAAATATTTGGCAGTATGGTTCTTCCTCTTGCTCAACTTGAGTGGTACCTCCATATTTGAGCGGAAGAGGCACGATACTGGCTGTGAAATCGCGGGTAGAAATATAGTTGACTCGATAAGGAGCCAGGAAGGCGGATTTATGGAGGAATGGATTAGTTATGGAGAAAATGCGATGCGGTTTGGAAGGGAGTGTAGATGCAGAGAGTTGCTTTGTGTTGTGTTTTTATGTGTTCTTCAACCTAGCGTTACTGGGACAATGGACAACACAAAGCTGGGCCAGCAAAAAGAAGAAGGAACTCTAGCTTTGGCTGAGTTCTTTTGAGGATTGAATTGGCTCTTGATGGCAGGTATATGTATATTTGTGGCTGCCAGGGTCACTGGTCATAGACTCAGAGAAAGGGAGGGGGATTGTCTTTCGAGCGAGTCCTGAGTCCACAGCTGGAGTTGAGAGGAAGCACACAGTATGTCCCTGGGCCACAAAGCCGGGAATTGGGATTAATGACTATAGATAGGAATTGATGATATGTACGTGCGTGCGTATATATAAACATATATACGTGATGTGATGCCAGAATTTAGAGGCTATTCTGCCATTGACTCATGACATGCCAGTAAATTTTGGCCATTGAGCGAAGGGACAGAAGGGAAATCAAACATATATGCGATAGAGACAAATGAGGGACAGCAGAGTAAAGCAGCAGAACCTTCCGGAGCCACACCTGAGCGAACGCCAGTCGTAGAAAGAAGATAGAAAGACATGACATATCTCACTAGGAGATAAAGGTAGCCTCCATTAAAAGGGTACCTTCTTCTGTGATCTCCTCTTCGTCTCCAACTTTAATCTTGATGGGCAGCTTGTGCGATGGAATGAACTGTTAGGAACATAATGTCAGTTCTGGAGAGACATGCATAGAATAGACGATACAGAAGTCGAAAACTGACCTGATATACATATGGTCGTGTTCCAGCAACACTGCCGACAAGAGACTTGATCAAGCCTGGTACTTCAGCCATAACATCAATTCGGTCCATTCTCTGGCCCAGGGAACCTTCGATTATGGCTGTGAAGGGTTTACCATCTGCCGTTTTGCCAGACCAGGTGATCTTTAGAGCAGTTGGTTCAGGCCAGTCATTCTCAGAATCCTGGGTGGCTTCAGTATGAGTTATGGAATTTGGAGCACCGGCATATATAATTTCTCCATCCTTTGCTACGCCACCCACATTCACGATGGTGGAGCCGTATGAAGGAGGCGTCGTGTATTCCATCATGATAGCAGAGAAGGTGGGTGATTGAAAGTCAACAAAATTCCATCTCGCAGCTATGAAGAGAGATCAGATGGTCAAAATTGGTGTCCATGACTTTTAAGAAACAGGATTAAGTGGTGTGTGTAGCATACCAAGGTGATGGGGCTTCATGCCCTGGAGTGCATGAACGAAAAATCCCTTTCCGGCGAAGTCGATTTCTCTTTCACGGGTAATGATTGAACCTTCAACCTTGCATCGTGGCCAGAAGGCATGTCTCATACTGCCCCATGGATTCATTGGATCGGTTCCAAATGTCGAGATTCCGTCCTTACCTGCGACGAAACCTGGAGCAGTGCGGGTGATGGTAACATTGACTAGACTATCTTCGTTGATAGCCGACTTGATGGTATATGCGGTCCCTTCTTCATTGAGAGTGATGGCAACGTTGTCGCCGCCAAATGAGAGCATGTCTTCAGCAAAAATATGGTTCTGGACGGGGTCGGAGGCCCATAAGTGAGGTTTCGCTGGATCCTTGGAGAACACTTTGCAATTGAACTGGCAAGTTGTATGGAGGCCACTAGAGTGCGAAATATATCAGCGACTCTACTAAATGATGAAAGAGTAGATAAAAAGGAGGGGTGAGTGGCTAAGAAAAAGATGCGCTCCGACATCTTCATCGCCGAACAAGCTCACACGACATTGTTGTAGATCAGCTGGAGTGAGGCAACATCTCCGTTATCCGAGAACAGATAGAAGGTCTGGGTCTCGACGCAAGTCGACTGCATTGCTGCCCATCGTAAATGATCCTTATGCACCTCCGTGTAGGGTATCGTCTTTGCCTGGTCGACCACCGACTGTATAGCCGTGGGGCCATAGATCGGCTCCTGTGTCCCGGCAACGTTGGCCAGGCTATAAAAGTAAACACATCAGTATATGCTAACTACATAGTTGGCCACGGAGAGAGATAGTACATACGTCTGTTTAAACCAGTTCATTGTTGAGTCTGTCAAAGGGCGGTATTCGACTTGGGGATTGTATCTAGACCGGATGGGAGGGGAACCAGCAGGAGGCGCGCGACCAAAGGCCGAAGCAGAAGAGCGGATGTGGCGGATAAACGATGTACCGTACTGGTTGGCCACAGGAGGTAACCTACTGTGCGCGTTAAGTTACAAGAAGACACAGCAGCACAAATGTAAAATGAAGCGTCAAAAGATCTTTCTGGCTTCTGCTTGCTTGCTTGCTCGTCGTCGTTTTTCTTCTTGTCGTCGAAAGGATCGCGGCTATTTTACTATTACGCGCGATTCCGGCGGTTACGACCAGGACCTGCGGCTAGCGCTAATATTGCTACTTTGAGTTTAGCGCACGCTCGGAAGAACTTTTTGATCTTTTGAGAGAAATCGAGAAGAAGAAGAAGAAGAAGAAGAAGCAAACGATTGACGGTGACCTGACGACAGGAGATCTCGAAAGAAGGGGAAAAGAGGACGCCGCTCTATCACTCACTCGGTTTCTGGCTTGTTTCTGCAAGGGCAACCACAACAATGGCCGCCAAAGCTATCCCAAAGGACGTCGTGGTGAAGCTCATCGTGGGCGCCGGGCAGGCCAGTCCCAGCCCTCCAGTTGGCCCAGCGCTGGGAAGTAAAGGTGTGAAGTCGATGGACTTTTGCAAGGTAGGCTGGCTGTTGACTCAATTGTTGTGAATTGGGACTTGTATGTATAACCCGACGAGAGCAGGAATTCAATGCGCGAACGGCACACATCAACGTCGGAACTCCGATACCTGCACGAGTCACCATCCGCCCTGATCGATCCTTTACATTCGACCTCAGAACTCCGGTGACATCCTGGCTCCTCCTGCAAGCGGCGAAGGTTGAACCAAGGAAAGCTCGCATCCGGGGCGGCGAACGGCCGGGCCACGAGACAATCGGGAACGTCTCTTTGAAGCATGTGTACGAGATTGCGAAGATAAAACAGACTGAGCTTCGATTGTCCGGTTTGAGCCTCCAGGGGCTATGTATGAGCATCATAGCCCAGGCAAAGTCCATCGGCATCAAGGTCGTGCCGTGAACGCGATATGTTCTAGAAGAACAGAGGAAAGGGGAAGCATCGAAGAACATGTACCGAGGTAATCTACTTTCTGCAAGAGTTCGACCAGGCTGGGTGGACGGATCGAACGGGTTCTGCGTGGTCATTGCATGGCGTTTTTGCGGGTGGGCAATCCTACTTCTTGGGCTTCTTTCTATATATATTTATTCAGCAGCCTTCCCTTTTTTTTTTTTTTTTTTTTATTTTTTTTGCCTTCCTTTGCAGAGAGCTCCTGGGAATGCCCAGAGAGCAGTGTACAGTATCGTACGGCAGCCACAGTGTATGATAGACCAACGACTTCTTCTCTTCTTCTCTTCTTCTCTTCTTCTCTTCTCCTTCTTCGCTGCTGCTGTCACTCGCTGACTCAGCTACCTCGGCCGCTGCGCTTCTTGGTCGCTTTGAAAACTTCTCGACGGGCTGGAAGACAACAACGTCGTCGGTAAACGTCCAGCCGGGCCAGCAGCAAGTCTCCCGGGGATCAGCTTCCGTCTGCCGTCTAGCGGCTCGCGCAGCGTCATCAGAAGACACAAGCCCGGCATATCAAAACGTCTTCCCGCCGAGTTCCGGAAAAAGTTGAGTTCGAACAAGCTTTGCCTGGCCGAAAATCGATTTCAACCGCAACATTTTCTTCGTCGACCTCGTCCTCCTTCTTTTCCTCACTTCCAAGTACTTCATCTCTCATCTATCATCCTGATATCACCAGCCGATACGGAGTCTTTGGCTCTCTGTCATCTGCTTGACGCCGCCGTCTCTCCCGACCTGCCGCGATTCGCATGCCTGGCGCGCATCCTTCCGACTTCCGTGCCCCTCCTATTTGTTCGCGCCCTCCCTGGCTTGGCCTAGCTAGAAGGCCTCCCCCCCTCCAGCAGGAGCATCCCAACCTGCGCTGCGCCTAAGGACGCTCGCCGTTGCATCTGCGCCAGTAGACCGCCGGATGCGACGCGTTGGGAGGAATGATTCTGTACCCACAAGTCCGTTGAGAGAGCTTGCCCTAGGCCCTTCCCAGTTAACAATCTTGCAACAACACTTCCATATTATAAAATATAAAATAAAAGGATAAACGCAGCCGAGGAAGCATAGCGAGCCAGAAGAGCGCCTGAAGCGTGCTTTGAAAACTGCCTCATCGTCATCATGGCTCCGCTTGCTAGCTCAGGTTCGGCGGAGAAGAAGGCCCAGGAGCCAAATACAGTTCGTTTTGCCGCGCAGAACCAGGAGATCGAGCCACCACAGAACCTGCTATCGTCCAGTGGTTCTCCAGATACAATTGTCAAGGGAAATGCTGACCCTACACCTGCGGGCCCGGGTGGTGAATTCGTACCATTTGATTCTGCGTTCCAGAAATCCAGACTTCAGGAAACTAGGCTACACAACTTTGCATTTGATCCAGTTTCTCTGCCTGCTTCAAGGGTATGTGACCGATAGATCTTTATTGTTCAGATAACAGCTTTGCTTTCATCATATTCTGATCCTATAATTAGACAGCATTGCTAACCCTATGTTTATAGGTTCCTTCTCAAAATTCAAGTATCCGTGATTTCAACAGATCAATAGCGATATCTCCTCCTCCATCTCAACCCCAGTCTCCTGCCTTTGGGCCTATTGACTTGCCGGAACACCCAAAAGATGGACATAACCGTGCATTACTAGAGACTACAGAGATGACACCCGAAGCCTCCTCATCCAGTGAACGACCCTCCAAGCACTACATCAGAAACCAGACCTCCTTTTCTTCATCCCGGCCTTCCTCATCCTCTACAGCACCCTCAACACGTCCGGTTTCGGGCCACAGCAATACACCTCCGCCAAAACTATCAAATTTAAACCGTGGAAAGTTTTTCGTCGGTCCCTCAGAAGAGAGCCCTCCAGGAACTCCTCGGTTTGAAGTCAAACGGCCTGCCTCTCCTCTCCTGGGATCAGGCACAATAACCCCTTTGGGGGACGAAAATGACCCGTATGCCCGGGACAAGAGACCTCCACAAACCAAAAACCTAGCGAATCTTGATCAGAGGTTCATTTTTGGAGGAGTCGATGCCAAACGTCGCCCACATAAATCACATTCCACTACTTCATTATCAACGCACAACATTCCACGCTCTGCCCATTCATCTGAAGCCAAGGATCATCACCATCATAAACATCCCCACCTATTCGGTGGCAAGAAAGATCGACATCATGATGAGAAATTTGATGCCAAACATTCAGGCTCGATGTCTGAACTAAGACGCTTTTTTAGAATAGACCGCAAGCATAAACGTGGAGAATCGCCATCTTCCATGAAGTCTTCCCGGTCCTCCATTAAACATGTTCCCTTCCAGTCTACTGCTCCTAGTGTGCCATTTGCCGATGACCATGGCCTGCAATCAAAATATGGAAAGCTAGGTAAAGTTTTGGGCGCAGGCGCTGGAGGCTCTGTCAGGCTGCTCAAACGTAGCTCAGATGGAGTTACTTTTGCTGTTAAACAGTTCAGGGAAAAGCATTCATGGGAATCAGAGAGGGAGTACGCGAAGAAAGTTACAGCGGAGTTTTGCATTGGCTCTACCTTACACCACGGAAACATCATCGAGACCCTGGATATCATTCGCGAGAACGGCATCTGGTATGAGGTTATGGAATTTGCCCCTTATGATCTTTTTGCCATTGTTATGACCGGGAAAATGACAAGGGAAGAGATTGCGTGCTCGTGGCTTCAGATTGTGAACGGAGTCAGCTATCTCCATAGCATGGGTTTGGCCCATCGAGATCTCAAGCTGGATAATGTCGTTGTCAATGACAAAGGTATTATGAAGTTGATAGATTTCGGTAGCGCTGTAGTATTTAGGTATCCTTTCGAAACAGGGACCGTTCAAGCCACAGGTAAGCTACCACTCCGTTTCGCCATCCTATAAACAAACAAGATGAAGACCGCTAATGAATCATACAGGTGTCGTTGGCTCAGACCCATACTTGGCTCCTGAGGTCTATGATAATAAAAAATATGACCCTTGTGCAGCAGACATGTGGTCACTAGCAATAATATTTTGCTGTATGATCCTTCGTCGATTCCCATGGAAACAGCCCAAGGAAGAGGATAATTCATTCAAACTGTTCATCGCCGAACCATCTCCCAATACCCCACCACCTGAAGAATTTGGCAACCCTTCTAGAGGTCGGCCGAGATCCGTGGCAGGAGAACCAACCAATAGTTCCATACCTAACGGAAACAAAGGTGACGGCCACCATCATCGACGTAGATCAGATCACAAAGAATACCCCAAACATGAGCATGTCGCCAATGACCCTAAGGACGAAGCTTCTGCGAAGGGGACAGCCAGCACAGAGAAACAGCAGGCAACAGGCCAACGTCAAGAACCTATCAAAGGACCTTGGCGGCTATTGCGAGTTCTACCTAGGGAATCCCGTCTACTTATCAGTCGTTTACTGAAGCTCGACCCTAAGGAAAGAGCCACCTTACAGGATGTATTGGACAACGAGTGGGTAAGGAGCTGTGAGGTCTGTAGGCAGGAAGAATCCGGCCAGACTATCAATGCCCCCGGACATACCCACATATCAGAGCCTCCCACACCCCCACCCGCAAAAAAATAACTATTTAATAGATTTTATTGTGAATCACGTAAATGTTTTGGAGGATTTGGTCCCTTGTGGCTTGCTTTGGTTTGTTTGGCTTCATGTTTATTTCCTGTTTCCCTTTTCTAATTCTACTTTGTTTTTCCCGTCCTGCTTTGGCCTGGGATGGAAAAGTCTGCCTCCTTTCGATATGCAATTATAAATGTGGACAGTTATTTGGTAGGAGTTGGGTCTTTGTTTGTTTCCTGGCCACATCTTTCCCCTTTGGCGTTATGCAAAGGAGAAGAGCGTGGATTCTTGATACCTATGACCTACATAATGTACAATCAGATGCCCTATTGTTTTGTTTTATAGTATATATATACCTTGGTCATAGACTTATGCCACGGATCCTAATAATTACAGTTGACATTTTCTATTATGTACTGTGCCATGATCCAATATATACACAAACCTCTAACTGGTTAAAGCATCCGCTAATTTATATGATGCACGACGATATCATTCGCCTACGACGCTACGTCCGATTCAGGTGGTGATTGAGCCAGCGTCGCTCCAGTTGCATCTGTGTCAGTGTGTTTTCCATTCACTTGTGGTCTCTGGTCAGCCCCTGTGGTTTCGGTGCTGGAGAGATCAACTCCGACTTTCTTATCCTTAGCCTCGCCATCTTCTACAGGAACTGGAATCTTTCGCTTTCCGTTTGCCTTGTACACAAGAACCATATCATTTCCTGTTCTCCATAGGTGAGTACGTATGGTGGCAAGGGTCATATCCATAGGTATAAGCTACATAGATATATTGTTAATGTTTTCCATTTCTTTCATTTCATACACATATTCATTTGAGGTGACTTACCGTATTCTGACAGTATAGTTCGAGATACTCCTCGGGTTTTAGAGCATCCTCACTTGGAGTTTCGGCATTCTGCGGATCAATTCGTTCTGCAACATAGGCAAGAATTTTCTTCGCACGGAGCATTCGATTTGCATTGAGGCGAGATGAATTATTTGGGGCGGCTCTGTACTTAATGTCAGTGTGCCCCCCATTGATACCCATTGATAATAAAAACTATGTATTGCAAAACCAACACGTTCCAGGAGATGCACTTACGTATCAGGTTTAACAACCTCTGGAAGAGAATCCTGATATGGTTTCAAGGAGAATGCGATTTTAGGTATCTCTTTAAAAGGGACAATATTCTTCAAGGTATGGCGATCAGCAATGCATCATTGAATCCAGTGGTGAAGAGGAATTATAATAGAAAATCACTTACACGAAGTAGGAGGTCAGCCAGCCAAGCAGGGGCAGCTTTCTCAAATATTTCAATATCTTGACGGACAGTCCCAACAGTACCCCTGTATAGGTCTGCAGCAACGGCTGAATCTGGATTTTCTTCTTGGATAAGGATACCTATATGAGGTGGAATATTCAAAACTGGTGCCTCATTTTCTGGTGTAGGGGTGATCAATGTTTCTATTTCTTTGCAAGGATTTGCTGCCGAATAAGCATCATAGTCGGCATGTATCCTGTCGATAACTCCGCGAAAATTGTCATCAAATGGGCGTTCCTTTTCAGATGATTTATCCGATTCTTCTGTCTTCTCTTCCGCAATTGGTTTTGTTTCCGTAGACGTTTTAGATTTCTTCGGGAACGTCATTTGGAATTTCTTGCCAAAGAGGGTTGTTCCTTTTTTTGATCTCTCTTCCTTTTCTGGCTCTAATGGGCCTGATATGGGTGCAGCAGGTGGTGGCTGTTCGTCAGAGGATCGGGATTTTGCAGTTGAATCTGCTGCATCCGTTGATGGGCGTTTCATCGCATTGGTGAAATAATCAGAAGAACCCGTGGGGTCCTTACCACCGTCATTTGTGAAAGGCCCATTGCTAGAATTATGCAATTCGGGGAAAGGCGAAGTCATGTTTGGTGTACCGATGCCGATTGACATACCTGGAGCCATAGCTGAGCGGGTTGCTCCCGCCCCTTTCATCCCAGGAGAGCTAGGAGGAATTGGTGTCTCAGGCGAACTGGGTGTCGCAACTGTTGGAAGCGCTATATTATCCAAAACATCATAGTCACATTCTCCTTTCTGTTCATATTTTAATTTAAGGGTTTGTCTGTAAA